GGATGTTGCTTGCACTTGTTAAGCGGCCTATTACTAAATATTTAGTCTATTAGTTAATATTTTAGGAGGGGGTTGGGTTGGAGCTTAAACCTAGTAGGGGACTTATGTCCTATTGTTTTTGCTCCGGTACTGCTTATACAAATCCTTAAATAAATAAATAAATAGATAAAGAAATAAATAGACGGACTTCGCCGGAAAAAATGGGACTGCTTGTTGTCTTTCCCTGGTATTTGAAGTTAAACTTTTTCACTTCTTGGTGTTGTTGAACTGCTCTTTATTTTATATCCTAGCATCTCCTTTGGGTTATATTTGTGCCGAAGCTCCACAACTTTACTTTCTCTTCCGACGAATTTACACCAGGTGAGAAGTGAGTTTATCTTGGTGGAGGACCTGTGTGCATGTTTTGATTTGGATTTGGATTTTTATAGCATCTGTTTGATAATCATAGTTTTGTTTGTGTTTGAGATTAGAATTCCTTCACGCGAACTTAAATCCAAATTAACGAAAGTCGTTCGCTCAAAGTTCGCACTTGGTTTCATACAACTTTTACCGAAACTCTTTTAATGTCGTGCATATTTTTTTTTTTTTTTGTAGATACCTTTTTCGTCTTCACACTATATCCTCACACCCTCAGGTAATGTCTTGTGTGTAATCTGTTGTAACGGATGTAATACAGCAACTATGTGATGCTGTAGTACTTACTGTCTGCGCAAGCCGTTGTTTCTAGGGGTATATCGTGATGATTAAGGACAGCCTACGTGGCTAATTTGCGCAGGGAATACTGATCTGAAGTTTAGACATACGGAAACCTTTTTGATGTTAAAAAATAGTTATATCGAGTTCTCACAAGTTTGCAACTGCTGCTGCACCGCGTCTTGGTTGGGTGGTATGTGTTTAAAACAAGTAAAATAACTTACGCATTTTGGATATTATTTAACCTCTTCTTTTATTACTCGACAGGGAATTATGTCGCTGTGTGTGTTATTCGAAAATCTTCTTCAAACTCACGAGCCCGCTCTGTTTTACCATCTGAAAGAAGTTGGTGCGCACCCGTAAGTAGCCATGTGAGGTTTATTTATCTTTTTTTTTTTTTTTTATAGTCACCGAAATACTTATGATTTGCAGTCTCTGTTTGGTTTGTTTCAGGCTCCATCTAGTCTTTAACTGGTTAATCTACGCATTTGCTGGTTATTTGGAGACGGAACAGGTACGAAATGGAAATAACCATGTTTTAGTTGATCTTTTTATCTGTAATTGTAGTAATGATTGCTGTTGTTCATGTTGTTCTTGTTATTGCTGTCCCCGTTGTTGTTCGGAGGAGGTGTTGACTATTTTTTTCCTATTGTTGTTGTTGTTGGGTTTTTTGTTTTGTTTTGTTTTGTTTTTTTGGTGGCGATAGGCGCCCATGGCGCCCTTTAACCCCTAAAGGGTGACTAGCATCTAATTTCCCCGGGCAATATCAACTCTGGATCAAACGTAAAGGTTACAAGACTAAAGGAAAGTTTACCAACTAAAGAAGCTCTTGATTGTTCAACAAATTCCTCCTTTTAGTGGCACCTTTACATGATGTTGTGATGTGATTATGTTACAGAACACCTTTAATTGTGCTACCATGTCGAGCGTCTGCCTGTAATTACATTGATATCTTCAATTCGACTGTGTCATCTCAAGATTCAAATTCAGTTTAAACCTAACGTTGAATTAGCTCGGAAATTTCGACTTTTCTGTGGAATCTGAATGCAGTTGACATCACTTTTGTTATATGTTTGTGCTGAAATTCAAAAAAGAAACGTAAAAGGAAAGGTTTATTTGTGATCTTGTCAACAGCTGCTCCTTTTGTGGGACAGGATATTTGCTTATGACTCAATGGAGTTATTAGCAGGTATGTCGACTTTCTTACATAATACCACTGTAGTTTAGTCACTGAAGCTAAACTTTGAGCCTCAAGAATCCGAGAATAAAACAACAGAGTGTATGTTTACGGGGATGAATATGCTTCGAGCGCGACTCAAAGTCAGTTTAGCCCGATCCGCTAAGGAAGGGTTAAAATGACTCTAAGAGGGGCCCGAACATATTTATGCCCGAGAACATAAACTGTATTACTATTATTGCCACTCTTTAGGGCATCGAGAAAACAAAAAACTGAAAAAGTGACAACTAAAAGCCAAAATCTCCATTTTAGCCCGTAAAATGCGCCACAATCCCCGAAAAGTGACTGTGATGGCCCATGGCGTGAAACGCGTAGAAATAAACTCAATAGGGAAGGACTTAGACTAAGATTAGCAGTACTTTACGTCGCCTCATACTTCACAGACCAGGATAAGTAATGGCGTCGATGAGCCACCAGCCTCTTAAGAGCTGACTTTGTTTTTCACTAACTACTATCACACAAAAATTCACGGTCAATCGGTCACGGTGTGTTGTCTGTGACGCAATGCTTCTCCTCGGGATCGAGCCATGACCTGAAAAACGCAGAAACAACAGACCACTATGAGAACCTTCTCAAAGTGGGAGAAATTGCTGGGAGCCTCTCAACTACTGTTTGATTCGCTTTCAGTTCTCGCAATGGCAGTTTTGTCTTATCGTCGCGCTAATCTGTTGGAGGTCACCAACTTACAGGCAGCTCAGGTTTGTGTGTTCAAATTATGAACTCTCTCCACTAAATGAGTTACATCTCGTTGATATGTCAAGAGAATTTGGAACTGCAATGTGTTTTGTATATTTGTGTGGAGAAATTTTGAGATGAACAAATTTGTTCTTGGGCGAAGGTTGGCGGGGTACACGGAAATTCGGAACTGGGAAAGCGGACTGAGAAATAACGTAGGGAAGGCAAAAAGCCCACAGTGAAATTTTCCTTTATCTCTCGTAATCTCCACTCGTTCCAGCACTGGCATTGGACCTTCAGTTACGTTTGAAACTGCTCGCAAATTAATGAGATTTTTTTTTTAGTTCCGGTGTGGACAATTTCGAGATGTTTAAAATGGTTTAATGCTATCGGATGTCATTTTTTGTCTTTATTCTTTCTTCGTTTCTCGTTACAGACGGTGCTGGCCGATATATCCACGTTAAACTCAATTGCTTTACTACAATACGTGTTATTTCTCAAGTAATAACATACTACCCCTCCTTGACAATCAAGAGTGAGGACAATACACTGAAGAAAGCCTGGAACCTATGGATGGTAAACCACTTGTTGTCCGTAGTGTACTGCTTCCTCAGAATTGAACTAGTCGTTTCCCAACAACTGAGAACACCGCGCCCGTCGTTACTTTAATGTTTGCAGGCAAACTATTTCCACCGTCTCACTAGCTTCAAACCATTTCCGGCCTGAAATTTCCCATCCGTCACATCTCATCTCTCAGTCTCGAGAGCGAGTTTAATCAAACGTGAGAAAGTTGACAGAGATTGAATCTCCTTGTTTGAGAGAAGTTCTGCAATCTTCTGTGCACCTGTAAAGGGCGTTAAAAGTACACGAGTGAACCACTTTGCACCATCATTCAAGTGCGACGTCTTGAACCGGTTCTACATTCCCTTCTAGCTCACGACGACGACGCTTGTGTCCATAGTATGTTATGATACAGTGTATAAAAGCAAGGAAAATACTCATTTCTCTTCGTATAAGTTATTATTGATAATGCACAACAAAAGAACTCGAACTCGTTTGTAAAAGCACTCTTGAAATTGTAAAATACAGCCCGTTTGTAAATTGAATGTGTATCTATATAAACGCAAAATGAACTTTTCTATTCGCGATATAAATAGGCCTTTTGTTTGCCTCCATCTAATTACGACTTTTGAGACGAAAACTATGGCTACTGATGCCTACATGAATAAAATAAATTTAAAATTAGCCGTTTCCTTATTACGAATTTACAACACTTTTCAATATACCCTTCCTGTTAAAATTTGCGTGTCAAGGTGAATGCTTTAATATAATTTAACTTTTACCGTGGACGCTCTAATAAGTTTCCTTAAGGACATAGTTTTCCAGGGCATCTGAACGAAAAAGCTGTTGGTGTAAGCGCTCATGAAAAAGAGGAGGGGACTTATCACAGCGTTCTCAGTAAATCTTCCGGGGAGATAGAATGTCCGATCGTTTTAAAGAAAACATCGATTGATTATGTAATTTCTGTTCTTTAATGAAAGCGTCGCGTTTCTTGATTTCGTTTCCTTTAACACTTTGTTTGCACGGCGTGAGTGTTTTGTTCTTAAGGTAAATTGAAAACAAAGAGATAATCCTAGTTCTGTTTGTACTGTTTGTTTCTCTTGTGAAAGGTTGAGGGGTCAATATTATTTTTCAGTACATGACAACCAATTCTGTCCAAGCGCAGAAGCTGACCGCATAGCAACACAATTTCAGCTTTTTTGTTGTGAGCCCCTGGCTTCGTATTTCCAGCAACAGGCAGTAGTTTTTATCACAAACACTTGGTAGAAGTATGAAAAGGCAGATAGCAAACATTTTTCCGCCGTGAGCATCATTAGATCGTCCACATTTTGAGCTGTAAAGAATCACAAAGCGCAAGGAATTAATATTCCTCTCGATTAAATCATTTGGTTGAATCCAGCGTGTTTTTTTTTCGCTGCCGTCGCTATGAGCAGCGTAACGACACCACAAGCAGGTAAGTTCAGTGTTGTTCGATCATAATTTCGCCTATTCTTCCACTTAATTGTGATTTAAACGGGTCCAAAGGTTAATGGAATTACCAAACAGGTAAAATCTTGCCTGAGCGTAAAACAACGAGAACGACTGTCAACTGATACAGCTTAGATATGATGAATATATGAAGTTCATATATTTTGAACTGCGGTTAAATACGTATGATGCACGATCCTGGCAGTAGAGAGCGCTATTTATGCAATAGCGAAAATCAGACCTGAGAAAAATCAGGCCTGATACAGCTTAATTATGAAGTCAGGCGATCGGCATTTTGTACGGTATTTAGCGGTTGTTGAAATGTTTTCACATGTATTTATCGCCAAGTTATATGAAAGAAAAGAAATTGTTATTAAGTCCCAAGATTCAAACTGCTTTGGCTGCCAAAGAGGGAATTAGTTATTTCGCATTAATCAAGTGTGACACGATATAAACAGTCAACGAAAATTCATATTCAACCCTTTACACCTTAGTCTCCCTCGCACCCGTTTTCAGTCTCGTCACGCAACGCTCCTGCGTGACGGGACTAAAAATGGCTGTAAGGGAGACTATTTACACCTTTACATTGAGATAATATTCACATTCTCCACGCTCTTCTCTCTAGATTTCCTATGGTGCTGACAAGGAGAATTTATGTGAAAATCAGGAGCTTCTTTCAAAAAATTTGTGATTATTTCCTCTATTCTCATTACCTCTACATTTGATTAATTTAATTTAATTTAGTCCATTTTCACTGCATTAAGTTTTGCAGTGGGGAAGGACTAGAAAGGAACATAGGAACCATTCGTGCTAGTCCACCCTCCCACCCATCCCACCCCAGGGGAGGACATCCATCACACAGTAATCTCGTGTGTGGGAAATTAACGTCTCCTACCCCAACCCTGCAGGAGACGGGACCTCCATTTATTCGTCCCTATCCGAGAAGACTAGAATATCTAACCATTTCTTGATGTTATAGAAAGGTAGCAAATTCTTCTCAATTATTTTAAGACCCTGAGTGTTGGTCTGGCCGGGGCTCGAACCCTCGACCTCCCCCGTACAACAGTCCAGCGCTCTATCCATTGAGCTAACCGGGAGGCTCAAGGGTGATAGATACCATGAGGAAAATTACAAGCCAGTCACTCTTCGGGGTAGAAGGATTGGTTTTAAATTTCCTAGCAACGCAAATTTGCGCGTCAAATCTAAAAGCCGCCAAGATTGAGCAAGTCTATTCTGTCAAAGCAAACCGAAGAGATCCCTCCCAAAATGGCTGCGCCGAAATCTTTTGTGGTTCACACATGATGAAACAGATTGTAACTGAACTTGTCGTCCCATCTGCATTATAGAATCATCATTTGGGAGTCCAAAGGACAGCTCACGTCCGCTTCCATCCGCCTATTTATCAACATATAATAAGGAATATATAGGTTCTTTTGGTCCACCAGCGCCAGATGCAAGGTAAATTGTTGCCAATGGCCACTGCGCACAGCACAGATCGTTTGGTTAAAAATCATTTAAATACGAGTCTTAGCGCGTTTTGCACAAAAGAAAGTCATAAGTCTTCTATCTAATCCATAACAAAGGAAAGGGGAAAATGGGAACTTTTTACACCTCTCTGGTTTCTTCGCTTTCACCAAATCTGACCTAGCGCAAGTAAATTTGTCAGGTTTGCACGTTGTTTCGATAAATGACAGTTACAGATTGAAAATACTCTGACTCGTTTTGTCATATTCGTTCACTTAGTTCTTAAGTTTCTGTTTATCTGTTCTCTTTTACTCTCCTCCGATCCAATGTTGTTATAATTGTTTGTCAATTATAGTTCTTCTTTTTAATTCTTTAGAGTGCGAACCTCGCGGTTTTACCCACCGGGACAACCTTCCGTTGACTCCACGTACAGAACCGATTTCCTTTGTCACCAGGGAAAATCTACAATAAAAGTGCCTTATGGGACGTCTTCTGGAAACAGAAGCAATAATCCTCATCCTCAAAACATGGAACAAGTGTTCGCGCATCCGATCAAAGTAGGTAAAGTAAACCTAGAGCGAATTGCGGACTGGTCCAGCAAACTAACACTGTTATCTCGACCAATCTGATGCAAAACACAAAACCAATCACCACCAGGTCACCCTCGTTTTCCCTCGCTAAAGGACAGTTGCGTGTAAAATCTTGGTAAACTTACAGTTACCATGAATTCCAAATAAAACTTTGACTTGTATATTCAAAGGAAATTTTTCTGAAGCATGGCTCACTTCTGTCCCGCAGCATTAAAAAACACGAATAGGTAAAAAAAAAAAAAAATTAGAACTTAAGATAATAAAATGACTTCACGCCTTCTCTTCATTTTCATAGGATTATTTCGTGTGGTCCCACTACCGAAAGCTACCCCCAGTTACTTCTAAAGGGACAGAATCCTCCAACAGCTCTGAGCTCCTTAAGAAAGTGTGCCAAGACAAGACTCGGTCGACTTATCAACAGGACTATGTCCCTCCTATTCAAGGTAGTATAAATGTTCCTTTTTGTGTTGTAAGTACAATACGATCAAAAGGAGTTAATCGAATATTTTTTCTCAGAGCAGTGGCAGACACCACTTTTACTTAAAAGTTCAAATGTTCAAATGCTAATTTGTTTTATTTATTAATATATTTTGTCTATTTATTTATTTTTAGATCTTCACTCTTAAAACAATGGCTCTGAAGGCCAAGGATTAGATTTAGAGAGATAGCATACCGAATAGTTCTGATCACTCTGAAATGAAGAAATAATCACGAGAAAGACAAATGTTATGGGATAAGAAAAATATGTAACATTAGAAAAAAAATAGGGAAATTGACCTGTTTGTGTCCTTTTCAAAGGAGTTTCCGCAAAAGTGAGCCATACAAGTCTTGTCTGTCTTCAGAATGCCCGATTCAAAAGTGTGCCAAAAAATTGAGACCGTGATTAACGTTCACTTGAAAAGACTCTTTTACAAACAGTACACAATACTCAATTTTAAGAGACTATTTTCTAACTCATTTTAGTTTTGCCAACAAAGATATCTTTTTATCACCACAAGACTTGATAGAGGAATTTTTCTGTACGTTCAAGCCGCAACCTAGACATTTTTTTTATCGCAGATTCCAATTGGTGATCAAAAAACTAAAATTGCACTGGATCATGGCTCATCTCATGTGAAGTCGTTGTACAAAAAGGATCATTGTTCAGGAATAGCTTTCTTATGAATTATAATTGAGCATGAATCATTATATGTTAAATTTGTTTAGGTCTTAAAACAATGACGTTAAAACAGAGCTGCCAAAGACGATAATGGAGCCTTTTGTCTCTTGAGTTGACTATGAAATAATGCCGTAAGAGAACTTACAAATATTTGTGGTTGTTTTGTTTGACCGTTTTCTCTTGGGAATTTTGTGAAAAAGAGGGTCTTACAATATAAGTGAGTGTTATTACTCTCAGTAAATACGGCGATATAACTGATGTCAGTTGATGCGCTTGCCATGTTGATAGCAGTTAGTTACACTTTTGCAGATGGGAATATGAGTGCGAAACAGGCTAATTCAAACATTGTTGATCATCTTCTCATGAACCGTTCGATTTCGTGTCAGTAATGAGTACAATCGTGTAACAATGAATGGTCATATATGTGATACTGTTCAGCCAATCACAGTTGAGCAGTTATCAGGGGAATACAGTTGTGGAACCCGTGGAAACACATCATCATTTGAAGCTAAACTACAATTTTTCGATCGAAAACATTTTCCATTTGAATCTCTCTTTCAAGGTAAGTTATGGGAAATATTTATTTCTTCTTTTTCGAGAGAACTGACTTCCAAATAGTACCTTTTATGATGAATAGATCCTGACGGAATTGTTTGACTTATCTAACAACGTTTTCGTAAACAAAAGAACAAATAGTGTACATTTAGTTGATTTTCTCAAAACACTGCACTGTTTGCACTAGCTTTGGAGTATTCTATATTTTACTTTCATGACTGATTTAACAACTCGTGTACTTGAAACGATAATTTTTCTGCAAGATCGATTCAATCTAAAATTGCTTTGCATGCATAAGTCACTAAAATGGCCGAAAAGTATGCCGAAAGAATCATAACATTTCACGAAATAACTTATGACGCGAAAGAAATATATTTGATATTTTTTAAGGCAGATGTTTTTCTAACACTTATCTATTAGTCAGCCGATACAAATGAGGCTAATCAACTTAATATTTATTGGCTAATTTTAATGTAGGAACGACAAAGATCATCATGAGAAGTAGTTAAAGTTTTGGTAGAGTGGTTTGGATCGGCTCGCTTTTAGTCAGTCAGTTGTCATGCCATACCAAGGCGGGAGATATCTACCTCCCATAGGTAAAAAATCTCATTGTTTACCTAATTTTTGTTCTTTGTTTTTGGAGAAGGCGTCGCAGGTAAAACAAAATACTTGCGAAGGGGTATACTACTTTCCAGGCAAAACTTGGACCGTATACTTTTTCAGACTGGTGCACTGTATAAGTGTAATGAAAGTTCGATAAAGCTTTTCAGTTATATGTTCAGTAAAAACTATTATTGAAATCTGACCATTAACAGATGTCAGAGCAAAGGAAGCACAGTCTCCTAAGTAAGCATTGGTCACGAGTCTGGGGTTCGAACCCTCGACCTCCTGCACATCAGTCCAGCGCGCCACACATGACCTAACTAGGCGGCTTTTTTGGACAAATCAAAGCCCAAATTGATCATGAAGCTTAAGTAAACCGATGCAATCGCGAATTAATTCGCAAACTGAAGAGCAAACAATTTTTCCAAATATTTACTTAACACATTTAGATAGACCACTTTCTCTAACTTTCTCCCTCTCTCTGCGTATGTCACTTTACACTACTTTACCTTATGATCAATTTTTCAGCAACTCCAATACAGACAACGTACCAGAAAGACTACACTATTCAGTCGGTGGAACCTCCAAAATCTTTTAAATACAGATCTATCAGCTGCAGTTTACGTGAGTATTACTGGATAAGACTTTTTTATTTTTAAGTTTTAATTCAGTTAAGTTCAGTTCAGATCAGAAAACTGTAACAGCATCGCAGCTGCACTATTACTTTTTTCGAACTTTGCGGAGATTGTCAATGTTACTGAATTAGAATTTATTCATTTGTCTTTCAGCTCCGATAAACTTTTCGAACTATCGTAATGTTGGCAAATCAACAAACTACAGAGACGAGTTCCAAGGAACTTTTGGACCAGCAGCTCGGAGCGCCAAGTAATTTTCGTAACAAATTCTGTAGCATTTATTGTTATCTCTTAATTCTAGCGGTCCTTTTTTGTTAATCTGGATTGGCCGCTCAGACTCTCATTTCAGCGAGAAAGGATTTCAATCCTGAAAACACATACAACCGGGTCTAGTCAAACTGGTCCTATCTTTTGACAAGAGCTAATTATGTAATTAGATTCCTAGCCTCCTACAGTCGTGAGGGAATTCGCTAAGTTGCGCATGAGTTTTAAGTGCGCATTATTTTAGATGAAGGTGAAGAATCATTTGTAATCCCTTTGGCATTGAAAACAGGCGAAAAAACATTTCGTTTGAACACACGTGTGCAAAAACCCGTTCTATCAGCTTGATCAGACAAGATAGATAGAAAGCTGCCAGAGGGCATCTCAATTACAGCTTCTTCTCCAAAACGGCCTACAATGTGACCCACCAGATCTACCAATGGTTAATTTATTTAAATCCCACAGCAGAAGAAGCGCATGTTCCACAAACGATTTTAAAATTTTTAAGTCAATGCAGCTGAAATTATCGGAGAAGTAACACTCTGCATCGGTTATATTAACGGAAGTTTGAACTACTTGGGAAAAGTATTTACTCGGCCCGAACAATGTAAATACCTGTGTAGAAAAAGAAAAAAAAAAGATTTTTTCGCGGCTGAATGGATTTTGGAATGGATTTTTTTGTAAAATTAACTAACAATGGATGGGTACTCAAATGCTAATTTAAACATGAACTATCTGTTTTTCTTCCTTTTTTTTTGCCTTATATCTATCAGTTAATTTTGTAGCAGTTGGTAGATGATTCTGAAAGGACATTTCAGCGAAAAAAGCTGTGATGTGTTTGCTCTCTTCCCCAGGCCACCCCCATACAACTACCCTTCAGAGGATCCTATCGAGGTATCGACCTACAGAGCGAATTTCCGAGAGAGCAACTTTCCAAGACAAGGTCCTCACCCCACTTCGCCACTGCGTAAAAACAACCCACACCCAAAAACCATGACCAATGCATTTAATTATCCAAACAGGGTAAGTGTTTCTCAGGTCGATCATTTCCCTGAATAAGTATCCATTGCACGATGTTCACAGAGATGGGCTATGACGGCCACTGCTTTTTTGGTTATTAAGCTAAGAAATTCATGTTTCTACATAATATCAACAAGGTCGATCAGGAAGGACCTTTTGTCGCCTACTTTGTTATCCACGAATATAAAGTCCTCTGAGGCAGAATATGATGTCCTCATATTTTCTCTTGAGCCCTCTTGATTCTGCCGTATGCTAAGCCATAGCTTTCATGCATTTTTTCTGTTTTTCAGGGCTATTGGGTATGGCCACACAGATTGGAACCATTTAAGTTTCAGTAACTTAACTTAACTGATGACCAAATATATAATTAACCCCAAGATGCGTTTTGTAGAGTCGCGTGATGAAAAGGGCTACGTCACTCTATTCAAGGGCATTTTAGGCGCAACAAAAAATTAACTTCAACGAAATAAGCCTTAAAACAATTAGTTTGCTGGGGTTGATCCATGCGGCGATAAGGAAAAACAAATGGAGATTTGAGCAGTGGAAAAGACTCGAGCGTTTTAATTTGGATTCTTTGAATTCGTGCGTTTTCAAAAATCTGAAGGGAATCTCTAAAAGGGGGGAGGGGCATCTCCAGCACCCACCCCTCTCTCTTAACCTACACACCTGTCCAAACGACGAAGTTGAAGATTTTAAGCAATTTTTTTCAAGCTGAAAGCCCGCGACGAGGATTCATTAACGCAGAACTTCTTACAGTTGTGTCAATGATGTCAAAGCATTTAAGTAAAACAAATTAGGGAGTGAAAACCGCAACGTCGATTTGATATCTTCCCACTGAGCATCATAAGCAGAGTACCTTTTACAATCAGTTCTTTGCATCCAAAGCCAATAAGCACAAGTAATTAAAGCTTTCGCAAGAAGTACCAACCCAAGGAGTAAATACCTGTATTTTGACAGTTTAAGTAAATGTAAGTCATCTCATCTGTAAGTCAGTTATGTTAAGTAACCAGAGAGTATAGTCATAGTCGAAAATATTTTGTGATTATAATATATAAGTCATAGAGTCAAGGAAAAGAGAATCCAGGGCTGGGCTTACTTTTCTCTTGCACAATGTGAGAGTACCTGACAGTTCTAATTCCTTTATGCGAATAGACTTGCCACCAAAAAAGGCGATCGATTAGCCCGAAAACTCTAAAACTAATATTCTTCAAATTTGGATTGCATTGTTCTTGCGAAAACAATGCCCGTCAGGATGAAACTTTGAAATCTATAATTCAAGACAAAGGGAAGCTTACTTTTAAGGCTGGCATGGCTTCCTGGGGCAAATTGATTTTAAAAGGAGTGGAATTTTTCCACCTGCCGTTGGTAGATTGATTGTTATAACCTTCTATGACCTTCTATGACCCTCTAAGACCTACTTTGACCTTTAGGCAGCAGCTTGCAGCTCCATTTCAGTCTTTCTGCAGATCCATTCATCCACTTTTATCGTCCTTCCCAACCACGAACTGGTGCCGACCGAAGCGTAAAGTCGCCATTTACACCTCTTTTTCCTTTTTTGGGCCTACAAGCCCCGACCAACATTGGCATGGATGTTGTTACATGCTACTTAGGATGGTTTTCAATCAATATATTAATGCAGTAAATGGTTTGAACCCGGGGGTAACATGTGAAGGTGTAGTCTGATCGTCCGGGTGAGTGTAGTCCTGAGAAGGACTGTTGTCGGTGGCAGTGACTGACGTTTCGACAACCTGTGCGGAAGTCATCATCAGAGTCAAGTGAGTGATTGTTGTCAGTAGAATGTTCTTATTCCAGTTCGTGTGAAATGATCGGTTGGTTTTGCCGTGATGTTATTGGCTGTAAGACTCAAGTGACGTAAGTCGTTCGTGATTGGTCTGTTTCGGTCTGTCGGTAAAGCTAGGTTGTTCTTTTTCGGTCGTTTGTGATGTTTATGTCGTGAATGAGTCGTTTGTATGGGGCGGGTAGTTGTTGACATCTGTTTAGGGGAGTCTGTTCTAAGTTAGTAAACCAGCTTTCCAGAGTCAGTCGTTGAAAATAGTCAGTGCTGTAGGTTAGGCATTGCGCAGAGTCCCAGTCAATGTTGTGGTTGGTAAGTCGATGGTGTTCAGCAATGTGATTGCTGACATCACCTTTCCTCGTCGCCCGTCTGTGTTCAGACGGCCAAGCCTCCTACATCGGTGAGACTGGCACAAACCTCACAACAAGACTGACTGAACACAGACGGGCGACGAGGAAAGGTGATGTCAGCAATCACATTGCTGAACACCATCGACTTACCAACCACAACATTGACTGGGACTCAGCGCAATGCCTAGCCTACAGCACTGACTATTTTCAACGACTGACTCTGGAAAGCTGGTTTACTAACTTAGAACAGACTCCCCTAAACAGATGTCAACAACTACCCGCCCCATACAAACGACTCATTCACGACATAAACATCACAAACGACCGAAAAAGAACAACCTAGCTTTACCGACAGACCGAAACAGACCAATCACGAACGACTTACGTCACTTGAGTCTTACAGCCAATAACATCACGGCAAAACCAACCGATCATTTCACACGAACTGGAATAAGAACATTCTACTGACAACAATCACTCACTTGACTCTGATGATGACTTCCGCACAGGTTGTCGAAACGTCAGTCACTGCCACCGACAACAGTCCTTCTCAGGACTACACTCACCCGGACGATCAGACTACACCTTCACAATATATTAATATTTTTCACCCATTCAATCGTGCGCTCTACCCTGTATTAGGCCAATTAAGCCCTGTACACTATGTGACGAAGCGTAGATTAAGATAAAAGGGGCCGCAAAAATGTTCTAATCCTTGAATAATCTGATCATGGAGTGCGCTTGACTTAAAGCAAATATACCATATTCAACTTTATTTGCAATAGTAGCCTTTAGGGGGTCCTGTAAGTCTTGCATTTTTGGGCATCCGTCGCGCAATTTGATTACAGTTGCGGGATGAATGAAATAGTAACGCCTTTTTGAATAGAGTGTTTGTGTGAGTTCAAAGTATTTTAATCTGCATTCAAATAAACCACTGGTTTCTCAAAAGACTGTTAAACAAGTAAGTGAGGTGTGATAAATATTAAATAATTCATTATAGTTGCCTGTAAACTGTTACTCGCTACTTCATGAAGAACTCAAATCCGTGACGTTGATTACGCAAAATATCATGAGTTATGGACTGGTGCTTATTAACCGATCAAGCTTTTAGCCACTGTTTTCATGACAAGCAGCCGATGGTTTTAGCAGAAATGTTAATTCCTGTGTCCAACAAAGAGTACCCAGACTGTAGTGAAAGCTAATTTACTTCTTTCATTAAAGCGTTAATCCATCTAACAATGGTTCTTACAGATGCCCATATCTGTTAAAGAAATACTCAGGAACAAGTATCAAACGCGCCACTGAGTTTGTGTCATGATTGCATGCAAGCATACCTATGGTCGTGAGGTCTTGCCAGATCTGACGTTGAGAAGGCAAAAAATCAACTTCTTCTTACACGAAGTGTTCTCAGCCTGGGAGTTGGTGTTGGTTCAAAAATAATTTTTTGTCGGTCTTAGCGGTGCACTCGCTGGAAACTTTAAGAAATAATGAGGGAAACCTTGTATGAAATTCTTGCATCAAAGACAAGTGGTAGAAGCATATCTTATAAAGATTGGGCTACTACAGGTTGGAGAAGCTGCTTTCTAAGTTCTTCCTTATTTTTCGGCTCTCTTGGCCATAGTTAATCATCATTTATTTACACGAATGTAAAATCTTTACGAATTTGTACTTTATTCTTTACACTGATCCTTGTTTGAATCTTCTTGGCAGTGAAGGAAGCCAAAGCGGGTCAGAATTCTAGTAGTTTGCCGCCAAATTTGAAGAACTACTTCGAGAATGCTTTGAAAAAACCTACGATGACTAACATATCCGGGTGAGTCTTTTTTCATGATAAAAGCCTAGATCTTCTTGTAAACTCCTTAACAATGGTGCTGTCCTGTATAGCAACAAAGTTTGTGTTGTACTTAAGTTTTCAGCATTACTTTCTCGTTAACTTAAAGGCATTTTTGACGTTCTTCGCCACAAAAAAAAAAAAGAATTGCCCTTCTTTATCAGCTTTATTCTTATGTTGACATTAGTACATAATTTTATCCTTAAGTTCAGTTTTCAACCGAGGGTACCCTTAGGAAGTCATGGTGGAAAGAAACGTGATTGCGCGAAAACGAAGGAAGATACTTCTTAGTGGCAAGAGTGGTTAATTTTCATTATTAATTGAAGTAAAATAAAAATACAACCATAACGCAGAACGATCATAGGAAAAGGATTTTTTAAACTGGGAAAGAAAAAAAGTACTAAAAAAATTACACGCTGAAAGGTCCATTGTTCATCATTTTTCCAGGAAAAGGTTCATGAATCTTTAATCAAACTCAGACGAAAAATTTAAATGGAAGCGTAAAGATATCTTTGTTAGTCTTCTCCCTTCAAAGTTTCGTGAAAGCCTATCGATGCAAAATACATCAATCTTACAATACTTGAATGTGCTTTGTATTTGAGCAGCAGAGATCCCTCTGAGGCTCATGCGCACCGGAGATCTCAGAACGCAGGTATGGAAAGGAGGACTATTTTAAGTCACGTGAACAGAAACAAACCTCATCCAAGGATATTCTTTCCGTTTCAAACTGGTGATAGGGTAAGAAACAGAAAAAGAAAAACGAAATTAGAGGCAAATTTTCTATTGTTCTTTGAATAAAGGCTGATAGTTTCTAAAGAAACTGTTTGGCGCTGCGTCGGTGGGGGTAACGAAATAATTTGAATATATCAACAAAGTTGAAATGGTAAATTGGCCACTGTTACGGTTATAAAAGATGACGTTTCGAGCGTTAGCCCTTCGTGGGAGCGAATGAATGGCTAACGCGACGAAGGGCTAACGCGACGAAGGTTTAACGCGACGAAGGGCTAACGCTCGAAACGTCAGCTTTTATAACCTTAACGGTGGCCAATTTACCATTTCAACTTTGTTGATATATTCAAATTATATTAATTGTTCTTTGAGTTCTTAAGTGACTATGGCAGCCGAACTATCAAGCCCCAGGCAGGGGGTAGAGAGTGGGGGCAAATTTGGTCTTCGAGTTGTAGGTACCGCTAGACATGGTATGGTATCCAGGGTCTTTCATCTTAGAAAGGAAGTAAAAATGTTACAACTCAGTGTCTTGAACTGGGCGTCTCTCTGTGGAGTGTTAGCATTGTGTGTGAAGCAATGTGTGCTTAAAAGGGAGGTCTCAGTAGGGTAATGGCTTTTACGGCTAAAGGTTAAAGATTTCGGCAAATTTACAGCTAACGATTAAAATTTTTCTTAAGTTGTCACCAGAATTTTGTTTTGCGGTTTAATTTGTTTACGACTGACCTTTAAAATTTGTCAATCTTTACACCTAACGGTTCAATGTTTTAGCCGTTTTGAGACCCCCTTAATGAGAAGCCTGAATGTATGTAATTGTTATTTCTGTTCTCGTTTCCCTTCAGCTTAAAACATACATGGTTTGGATACCAAAAGACCAAACATCAAGTTGTTCTCTTCCCCCAGTCCCTCAGAGACGCATTGAGCGCACACCTCCCTCGAGAAAATGTAATTCAAGAATGAACGGCAACTTTGGTCAACTCATCGGACTCAATCAGACCACTTACCAAGAAGAAGTTTCGCAGGCGCCTTTCCGGCACAGAAGTAGTAAGGAATTTTTTAATAACTGTCAGTTTTTGTTACTAGATTGATATGAGATCATGGAGAATTTGCTCAACATAAGCGAAAGCGTCAAATTGACGCTTATCATTCGCTGCGACAAAGGGCTGACGCTCAGCTTGAGACTTCTTTATCGTGGCCAGTTTACATTTATCAATTCATTTGATAAAACGAAATTACCTTGTTCCATGCCTCAATTGACTTTTACTTTTTTTTCTGCAGTCAATATGGTGGATCACTTTCCTGCAAACAACAGTAACAAAACTACTTTCCATCGTATGTAAGTCTGGTAATATCACTTTTTGGACGAATCACAGGTCGCTAGCAGCATGAACTTTACGAAGACAACAATGAGGCGGAGGGAAAACACTGCTGGCAGTATCGGTTCAGCAAGATTTTTTTGTGTGTACCTGGAATCATACCTTTCAGTGCAATTATTTGTAACGATACGCGTGACATGTGTACATTTTCTTAGAGAGCTTTTTCGATTAATTGTTGTGAAACCAAAACGAGAGCTAGAGTACAATTAAAAACAGCCAATCTGGGTGAAGAAAATGACACAGGTAGCCAATGACTGACTCATCCAATAGGTAGACTAGTTTTAACACGACGACGCCTCGGACAACGTCCGTTAAAAAACGAAATTACATTTTACCTACGAATTTCGCGATACTTTAAAAGTCATTTAGTTTGTTTCTCGCTGTTAAAACTATCTCGAAACTGAATATGGAACTCAGTGTTAAATTATGAATAGAAATTTAAAACAATTTGCCATCGTCGTTCACGCTCTTCAGGCAACACAAAGTTTGGTCATTTTACGTTGTTGTTTTGCAGAGGACGCAAAAATATTTACAAAGATTTATAATGCACTTGCACAGTGTCATTGTTCTGTTCATCAAACCTTTCGTTTAGTGACGTTCCTTTTGCCGTTTCCTACGTGGTTTTCTTTAACTCCCTTATTTAAAACAAGCAAACTGTCTGAAGCGCGGGAATACGTTATTGACTGAGTTGTGCATGGTTTTAGAGACCGGCACGAGTTTCCTGGACCAGTCACAGAGCCAACCAATGAAATTCCGGATTAATTTTGACACCTAATTGAAGAGTGCTTTATCTAGCCTTTAAATAATGGAAAATTGACCCAATAGTGCATGGTACCCTTTTGTAGGTGGCATTCGCGTAACGTTAGAAAGGTGTACCCTGAATGGACAAGCGCCGAATTCAGTGGAGGAAATGCCAAAAATCGCATAGGACCAAAGTTTAATTTCCTTAAAGAGAGGCGCATCCTAAATTTAGCGGTCTTACTGAAATAGACCGTCCACTCTATATGGCAGATGCGTTACGCATTTTAAACTAAATGCCTTGAGGCCGCAAAGTTTTAATGAACCATTTAAAACGAATATCGTTTGGAACTACGCGGAACGGTCTAAAATCAGAGTCGGACCATTCATAATCTGACGTGACCGCCGAAAGTTACATAGCACTCTTCGAGAGAGGACTGTAACTGCAGTAAAAGTAACCTCACAACACCACGATGATAAAGACGATTGGCAAGAGTACCATATAGCCCCCTACATTAATTATGCATTCAGACGAGAAGACTTTGTTTTTAAAGTTTTGTCGTGAAAGACAAAGAAGTGGAATGCATAATTAATGTATGGGGTTATATGGTACTCTTTCCAGACGATTTATTCGGTACGAATGATGTTGATGGTATGTGGGTTGAAACTTAAAACAATAAATGAATACGAAATTATAACAATTGACTAGTAAAAGTAACAGGAAAGAAATACACTGAACGAACTGAACAAACTTGAAATGACACTACTTACATTGTTACGATTTCTACGAAACTTTTGGACGAATATAAACTGCCCAAAGGCGAAATAAAGATAAACTGGAGTAACTGCTTAAAGCGAACTACTGTATGACTAACGGAAGACTAAACTCTGAACTGAGAAAAGCTAATTTATATATGCGAAAACGACTAGCTAACTTAAAGTGCAATTGACGCTTATATTACGAAAGAAACTAATGAACGAAGATACGTGATATAGAAACAACAGAAGCTAACTAACCAGCGAAAAAATACTAAAGAACGACGAGAAACAGTGACAACACAAAAAGACATAATTTGGATATATCAACAAAGTTGAAATGGTAAATTGGCCACCGTAACGATTACAAAAGCTGACGTTTCGAGCGTTAGCCCTTCGTCGGAGCGAATAGAGGAATTGTGGGTTGTGTGTGCTTTTAAAGGCAGAAAATGGAGCTACGTTATTGGTGGGAACATGGCAACGAGAAAAACAAGAATAAATTAGTGGAATGAAAAGCGTTCGTTGATCCCTGTGGGATTTAGACTGCCGGTTTGAAAGATGAGCTTTTGTTCAAGATTTTTACGGCTTTCCGTGCTACCTAAGTGTAAGGAAAGACCGCAGATTGCCATATGTTGCTTAGAATGATTAGGTAAATTAAAATGTCTAGCGACTGGTTTCGATGGGTCCTTGTCATTCCTTTCCGAGTCTCGAAAGTGTTCTCGGAATTGGTCACAAAAACACAAAAAGACACCCTAATGATTGATAGAATGAGGAAACAAAAGAAAAAAACATTCCGCATGCTAGGACCCTACAAGGACTTCACGTTCCGGAATCAGACTGTATATCATGTGAGATCGGACGATATCGTCCGAAATCGATCGGAATCGGACGTAACCGTGTGAACTCAGATGCAACTGTGCGTTGTCGGATGGACTGTGGCTTAGTGTTGTTGGACTGGACGCGGGGACTTGAGAGAACGAGACTGCCTTTAAATTTTCAGGTGCACACAAACACTATAACAAAAACATATCAACAAGTAAACTTTGACTACACTTCATTTTCTTTACCAATACCTTTCAAATATATATAGATTGAGTAAAATTCTCCTAACAGTCTATCATAAATGCTGCAATTTGATTGCCTACGCTGCACGCTATCTATCCCGTTTGAAACACAAAGCAATGTAAGATTATAAATAAAGCAAAATGATATCCTGAACCTATCTTGTCACTAGAATTTGAACCAATAACAGCTTTAGAGCGTTTTGCGATTGAGTATCGTGAAAACAAAACCAAAGAGAGTACGACGGCCAATCAAAAGAGAGGAACATATTTGAAGAGCCAATGAGAACGCAAGGTAAATACAAGCAAACCGCCTAAAGCGCAGGCGACCAAAATCGTATGATTAGTGTTAGTTTGGCATGTGATGAATTGAGAGTGGTGCAAAATTTCTGGACCTATCACAGAGTGAAATAAAGCAAAATTAATGCAATCCTGGATTACTTTTGACACCTAATTGCTCTATAATAATAATAATAATAATAATAATAATAATAATAATAATAATAATAATAGTAATAATAATAATAATAATAATAAAAATAAAAATAAAAATAAAATTAAATTATTCGCTCTCGTTCTCCATGCCTGCTAATTTATTCGGAACTAACCCTAACGACTATCCCGTTACAGAAATCTCGTGCTCATAATTTTTAACTCAGTCAATCAAAAGTGAAATCGTCTAATTCAACTGTATCGTTCCGAAAAATGCACGAGTGATTGCCCTACCCGTGGAACCGTGAGATGTGAGTTTAACAAGCCTAACATCTCTGGTGCGGCATTATTGGACGAGATTAAATTTCGACTGACGACACGACGAACTTCAGTTTTGATTGCCAACCCGATTGACCTTCTTTCAAAATGACGACTGAAATAAAACAAACTACCCCACCGATAAATGTTCCTCAAAGTAAAAAGATAGTACATGGCCCAAATAGGTAAGAAAAAGGAAAACTTCACGTCATTGCAGCGAATATCTTGGAAAAAAAAAGCATAATCTGGAATTGTACATAGGAATAGAGGATTGTTACTAGGTATTTACATGTACCTTCAACTATGTATCTCTCGCTAAATAATATGAAAATCGCTAGTATAAAATAACAGCTGCCTAAATGAAACTTTGTATGGTTACTAAATTGAAGTGTGTCGTCTAGGTGCTCCCATACAAACGACAAAAAGTGGTTCCATATTTCAGCCACTATTTTCAGGTGTCGTTTAAAAAATTGTGAACAAAATATATTATCAGAGTAGAAAAAGTATGGAGCAGTCTAACAGTAATTATAAATGTGTCATTATTCATTAATCCTGCTCTTCACTAATAATGTCTTTCCCATGGATTGTTTTATAATGTTTTCTCAATGAACTCGGATCCGTATACCTTTTCAAACAGTTGACCACTTTGCAGTGGTAAGGTTTGGTCTCTGAATGAGTCCGAGTATGTTTGTATCTATCACTGGAATTGGAGTACCGCTTATTACAGCCTGCCACAGGGCAAACATAAGGCTTTTCTCCCGTATGAGACCTGGTGTGTATTTTTAAATTCTCTAGCCGTGAGAAGCTTTTTCCACAAGAGTCATGATTGCAACGGTGGGGCCTTTCTCCAGTATGTGTTCTCATATGTATCAACATTTTGTACCGGGCATTGAAGCCCTTTCCGTTGCGCGCGCAGCCCTGCCAAAGGCAACTGTATTCACTTGCTTCAGTTCTAATGTGGTATTCATTGACATGCGCAACCAAATCCTCCAGGGACAAAAAATGTTCGCAGCAGTTGTCCCATTTGCACTGGTGAAGTTCCGGTAAGGTTGGCGACAGAGATGATGCAATGCCATGAGGCAGAACGGATACAATCTGACCCTGTGAAGTAACTTGGTCTTGTTCAAAGATTTGCCGCAAGTAGGTCAAGCTGGATGGGTGTGCTGTGACTACAACGTCTGTTGCGGATGAAGAGCTGAGTGTTTCTGAAGCACTGCTGCTCTGCAATGCTTCTGATGTAGTAAACTAAAACAAGAGGAATAAAGAAAACCTATTAGAAAAATATGAACTCAGAGACCAGTCATTATTTCAGGGCAGGGTGGTGGGGGGGGGTAGAGGATTTGGGGAGGGGATCACATGGTTTCTAGGGGAATGGAGGGGGATCCTCATTCTAAGAGCCTTATGGGGAGATCAGGTAAATGTTACATCTTGAGACAACCAAAATCCTCCAATCCCCCACCTCCCCAGGCACAAATGATGCCAGGTCCCTCTGTGTAAAAATACTGTCTGTGATTGCCTTGCCCATATTCAGTCTGACTCCAATTGAATCCTTGTGATACTTTTTCAAGTCCAAGTTTATTTCGCACTATTCAAAGTAATACAGTATAAGATGACTTATATAACTAGGTGAAGAAGATAATGAGAAGTAGATATCATGAGGGTTTGAATATGTCTGCACAGTGACCAAAGTAGTCATAGCTTTCGTGTTGGTCACTGTCCACTGTAAATAGAGAGGTCCAAGGTCCAAGATATAAGTGCAAGGTAATAATAAATTAGGGTATTAAGAAAATAGTTCTTAAAATAAATATATAGAATGAATACTAGACTTACTGATACAGTGCGATAATATACTAAATTTAGAATTTATAATAAAAAAGAAAAATAGGAGAAAAAAAAAAAGAAAAGAAGAGAAAAAGAAGAAAAGAAGGAAAGTAAAAATAACCTAATTACATATTCTACTGCTGCATTGTTCAAGGAAGACAAGAAGCTAAAGAGAAGAGGGTGTGAGCTGTTATCATTGAATTTTGTGATAGAAAGGTTTTATAATTTCTTTTAAAGGCAAAGCTATTAAGAGACTTCAATTCTTTTGGAATAGTTTCCCAAATTAGAGCCATCCCATATTTAAACGTGAATTTCCCATAGTTAGTTCTTTTATGGTTCTGAATGCTTGCATATTGAGTATTATAAGAATGTATATTTGCTGTAGGGAGGGCAAAGTCAGAGAAAATAGCAGGAATGCACTCTTTATTGTTAAGAATTTTATGAGTGAACGTGGCAATCTTTAATTTAAAAATGTTATCCAGTTTTAGAATGTTAAGAACGTTGTAATATGGAGCGGGGCTTTCCCTACTATCTGCAAAGAAAATATTACGGATACATTTATTTTGCTTTGAGATTAGCTTGTTTAATCGCAACTTATATGTGTTGCCCCAGCTAGGTATACCATAGTTCAAATACGGATAAATTAGTGTTATATAATTGCTTCAGAGTATGAATATGAAGGTAGTACTTAACTTTGTTAACTATTCCCATGTTACATGATACTTTTAAATTTATTATTAATATGTAAGATTTGAGGACCATAATTCAAGTGCTCATCAATAAACACACCTAAATATTTAATAGGTGTCTTGCGTGCTAAATTACTTAAAATAATATTTGTAGCTTTTTGAGGTGATAATTATAAGCATGTAGTTTGTTTTCTTAAAGTTGATAGACAGCTTGTTAATGCTACAGTAATGAAGTACTACCTTAATTCCAAGGTTCATTACAGACTCTATCTCTGCTGGATTTTTACTAGAAAAAAAGATATTAGTATCACCAGCAAAAATTCGAAAGGAAATTTTGTCATAACAATTAGGTAAATTGTTTATATATAGCTGCAGAAAGAGCAAGGGACTGAGTGTGGATCCCTAAGGGACACCACAAGTTACAGTTAGCTTCCCAGACTCAACATTGCCTATTCATACAGATTGGTTATGGTTAGTTAGGTAGCTTTCAAACAAGTTAAGTGGAGTACCTCTGACACCATACACATGGAGTTTAGAAAGTAAAATTTTGTGATTAACAGTATCAAAAGCTTTTGATAGATCCAGAAAAATACCACAAGTTAACTCCTTTTTATCGATTGCATCTTTAAGTTTATCAGTTAATTCAAGTATAGCTTGCTCAGTGGAGAAGTTTTTCCTAAATCCAAACTGATATTTATAGAGGATCTCATTTTTTTCCAGGAATGAATATAGCTGATCATAGACTAGTTTTTCAAGGACCTTACTGAAGGGTGATAGTATCGCAATTGGCCTATAGTTAGTTGGGTTAGTAGTTGGACCATTCTCATGAACAGGGGTAGCTTGGGACAGTTTAAGGACATCTGGGACAACACCAGTGAGAATAGATAATAATAATAATAATATTAATAATAATAATAATAATTTAATATTTATATTGCTTAAATTAACATGAAGATATGATCAAATGCGCATCACAACACTTTTCGGGGGACTTTGGCCGGACTGCATCAGCAGTTTACAAACATTCAAAAGAAACTTTATTTGAAGATGCCCCCTCCCCCCAATTCCCAGTAAACAGGCCAGACCACATCACAGTAATCTCGTGAGTGGGTTCTTTAAGATTCATTAAAAATATGTGTAAAAGGTTTAGCAAGTGGTCTAGCAGCTATTTTAATCAATTTATCTGGAATGTCCAATGCTACTTTGCTTTCCTTAAGTTCATAGAATAATTTAGAGACTTCAGCTTCTGTGATAATAAAAAAACTTGAAACAGGTGAATTGGTTATGTATTTTAGGGGATTATCATTAGACTCTTTAATGGTACCGGCAAGGTGAGGGCCAACATTGACAAAATAGTGGTTAAATTGTTCAACAATATCAGATTTAGATTCAAAAGTTTTTCATTACTTCTATATGATTATTGTGTTGGTTTATTAAGAATTAAGAAAAAACCCTCTGATTTTACAACCACTCCATCAACCATAAAAAGTTACATGTACCAAATCAAATCCTAGGTGATATTGTAAGGGGTATTTTTCTGATTATAAAAGAAACTCTGGTGTTGTGTTGGTTTGCGGGTCTAACAAGATAATTTTTGTTGTATCAACTGAGTTGATAAATGGAATTTCTCAAGTTAACTTCATAAGAATTGTATGGAATACTAATAATCATGTTCTGTTTGCCTACAAAGAAAACCTATGGAGGCAAATATATCAGAGACAACTATCACAGGTATTTTAGTTTACATTCACAACTTGGAAATGAATCCTCTTGGCATTTCAAAGGGCTTACCACAACACAAGGTTCCAGGACCTCTCTGTCTTCCCTTTTCACCATTAACAGTTCCTCTTGACCTTCTCCCCTCTCCCGTAGCTCACCAGCGAGAAGCTCTGAAGTTCCTTGCACATGAGTCAGTACACATGGCAACACAGACGATGTCAAAACGACAGGCTGTTGAAGCAGCCCTACAGTTGGGTTAATGACAGTTGAGTCTGAAAGCAAATCTGCTGAAACCGGTGTATCTGAGAGGCAGGGAGAGCTTTCCAAGTCACTAGAAGAAGCAATTGCTTCTGTTTCATGAAGAACTGATGACCCATGTAGAACAGAATCCTCTGCAGAAAGATCTGTCATGACTGATGTTACATCTCCCTGATCCAGCATTTCTGAGACGGTGGATACCACAGCTAAGGTACTTGTGCATTTGTCAAGCTGCAAGTTGCCATGAAGGTCCTTTTGTGTATCTTCCTTTAGGAGTAACTTTGAACTTTCCTGACCATTTTCCTCTGACATCTGTTAGTCAAGAGAGAAAGAATGTTACATTTGAAAAGAAGATGAGTGGATATTAAGACTTCAAGAGCAAGTCTTGGATGCATGTAGGAAAGCTGAGCAGTGACTAACCCCCATGCACACCTGATTTAGCTTAAAATGATTTAGCCTCCAAAGGAACTCAAACTAGTTTGACCTGTTAATTTCAAATTGGTAGTATCAACTAATTTGAAATTGTAAATTGCCCATTGTAAAGACTTAGCTTTTTAACTCTTTGCGGTGGCCAATTTACAATTTCAACTTAGTTGATATCACCGAATTACTTTGTTACCCCCACTGACTCAGCACTACAGTTTCTTTAGAAACTTACCCCTTTCATTCATTATTTTGTAGTTTGACCTGTGTTTTACCATGATTGAGGGTTATGGTGATTTAAATGAGACAAAGTGAAATACAAATCAAACTAGTCTGATACCATTTTTGATCTGAAATCCATTCAAATTGAACATCTGTACCACTAACTCCAGAGATTCCAACCATTGTCTAGAGACCTTCTATTTTCATTCATTTTTGGCCTCCTATTTTCACACGACATTCTCCTTCCTGAAACTTTTCCTGTGGAAAAGGAAGATGGTGTTTTCCTTCCTTCAACATTCTATTTAATGTGATTCTTCATCACCTTTTTCTGCTATCTCAAGGTTTTTAACGGTTACAAGACGTAAGTCTGTGCTTGGGTCTGCACACTGGATTACCTCCACTTCATGCAAGGATGAACTCAAAATACAATTGAAATCTTGGGGCCTTTTTTGATAAAATTATCATAGGAAATGCGAAATGAACCCTCCTCATGTTCCTCCCCTTTAAGCCCTCACAGTTGCAGCCTTGCCAAACTATGAAAACCAATTTTTTATTTTCTAAAGGTTTGAATCTCTGTCTCTCATGGGAGTTTCAGCTACCTAGGCTAATTAATAGGTAAATGCATCTCATGTCAAATAGCTTATTACCCAAAGGGTTCTATGGACAAAATTCGAGAGATGGGGCTGAATCATCATTCTCATGGACACATTTTTTTAATTTTACCCTAAATTTTACCAGAACATTTTACCACAGATATTTTAGCCAGAGTGAAGGGCTTTTTAGGGTTTAGAGAAAAGCAATGTGTAAAGAGAAGTATAATATTGCAGCTAGAGGACATTTATGATTGGAAAGAAATTGATTTTTAAGAAGATGCAACTAGTGTGGAAACCCTTGACTTCAAGCAAGGAGTTAAATTTTTGTGTGCTGTTTTAACCATAATGGAAACTGATTGGGAGGAAATTGTCAAATTTGATTATACAGTGCTGGAGAGAAGTATGTGTTACTTTCAAAGATGCAGCTCTGGCTTAAAATCTCAAAACAACAAGAAAGCAGTCCTCCTGTTAATGATTGGGGTCAATAATTAAAATGTAAATAGACACTTTTACAAAATCAAATCACTGCAGTATGTATTCCACAAAATATCATCATTGCGAAAAATTTTAAGAGTATGTATGAAACGGACTCGAATTCAAGTTCACGGATATTAAGAACAGATTTCAAACTTCGTGATCAAGTTTACAACACACCATTTAACTGTTATTGGCCCTGCAGTGGTCATAAAGATCTGAAAGTTCTTCGCTCTCTTTCTCTTTAATGGGCTCAACTTAATCTGTTGAAACGTTTAAGATTATTGGCTACTTAAGTCAGGAGTAGTCCATAGAGAACTTGTCATCGAATCAAACATACGAAGTTCAATTAATGAAATGTATCACATCACATGATCCTGTGAAGTGTACTGGTTGATCACGCACGACAAGATCTTCAAAACCTGGGGTAACTTTGAACCCTAATGTAAAATGATAATAAAGAAAGTCTTCAGTGCAAAAAATTACTTACTTCTTAAGGATTTCTTCCGGTTGATACTTGAAGTATAGTCCTTCCCTAGAATATTAGAAGTCGAAGAACTCATCATTGTAGATACTGAGGCTTAGCAGCCGCGCCTCTCTAAAATCACATGCGGGCTTCCCACGCAAATGAACTGGATGCCCTCGCAACGCGTGTTTGTTAATCACGTTACGATGTTCGGCGGATGCAATCGATCAACTGAAAAAGGAGGAAAAATAAAGCAAAGTAACTGTGTTTTTTCTTTACCACATGTCATTAACTCGAGGATCCACCCCTGCTCTTTACACCCAAGAAAGGGTCATCTGGCAAAATGTTATAGGGGTTCTCAGGGCCGTGCATTATCCAGGTCGACTTCTCTGTTGGCAAGGGCCTTTGTTATTGCTTTTCATTTCTCCATCTGTCTCTTTTTTTTGCCACAAAACATCAATCCAGGTAAAAAGAACAAAGGTCCTCGAATCGTTCCAAGCGACAATCCCCGCTTCCCTTTTTCCTCTGCTTATATCGTATCACTGTTTATGTCAAGGATAAGTTACAGTTGGAACAGGGAGGAAAATGTTATAAATATGCAAATGAGTTCTTCACTTTTCGCCTTTCGAGGTCCGGCTGTCGTTCAATAAAGCTTGTAAATATGAAGCTCAAAAATGTTTTATCTGTTCGGAGAACAGGATTT